TAATGAAATCAAACTAAGTTTTTGTTTATTTATACATTTTTTATGGTTTGTGTATTTATAGTCGGCATTTCATTCTTCCACAGCTTCTCAGTGTATTTCCATTCAGATATAATATTTCTGTATTGTAGTTATTGGTAGCGACAGAGTCTGCCATTTTGGCAGTGGATTTAGCCACAGGAAAATTATTGATTAACAGCCACGCTCTCTTTACCCCATAGCAGAGCTGTATTAAGTTACTACCCCAATATCCCATTCCTTCTGGTTCACGTTAAAATCATTCAACTCACCACACACCTTTATTTAAGCTGCCATTCTTTATGTGATGCAGCCAACAGAAACAATGTTCTTGTCACTGCAGTTAGCACTCACTGGCTATTAAAAAACAAGACAGCAGTCATTTTCAGCAATTTTTTGGATAGCTGATTGTTTTTAAACAGAAACACTTCTGTTGTGTGTTGTAGTGTTTGTTGTGTGTCGACAAATTAACCAGGACGCCAAATTTAAGGAGCTATTTGTAAGGTTTGCCACTGCTACATAGCCAATGTTGGCATTAACAGCTGTTTGCTTACCGGTCTTACCAAGAGCTTCAGCCATCATTGCATTTACAAAACAAGAGGTTATGATACGCCCTCTGAGCAGCGCTACTTCTTCAGGGCTGGACTCTACAGTGACTAGGGCTGGAGCTAGCTTTTAGCATGCTAACTACAGTAGAAGAAAAGAAGTCACAGAAATAGAATCAAAACAAGAGGGTTGCTTTCCACCGCTGGAGACAGCTCATGGCAAATAAAGGAATAAAGTTTGATGCTGTACTTGCAACCTTTCTTCTAGACTGGTAAGTAAACAGCTGTTAATGCTGATGTTGGCTATGTAACTACAGTATAGAAAAACTTATAAATAGCTCCTTAACGGATAACAAGTATATATCTTTTCTCATTGTTAAATTTTGATAGAACTATGATGCTGCAGGTTCACTGGGGAGTAAAATGCATCTCCAGGTCTTAGACAGTTACTGTATTCCAAGTAATAGTCAGAGACAAAGCGCTAGCAGGAAGTTTAGTTTGTAAGAGCATATGTCCAAAGAATGCCAGCATGCTAGAACGTCACGCGACCAAATCTCTCCTGACCATGGGTACATTACATAGTCATTGTGCTGTTCATCTGTGCCTTCTTCCCCCATGGCATTAGCTCGTGCTTTATGCCACGCCAGGTTGCACCAGCTTTTGGCTCACCTCTGGTAGCACCAGTTCCTGGCCTACCTCCTGACTCATCTGCTTCTACTTCAGTTAGAGATTTCCAACATTACTCTACTCCCAGCAGAGTACGAGCCTGAACGTGTTATATTCTGCTGTTTTCCTGTGTAGGTGGGGAGCATCAGTGATAGAGACAGACATAGTAAGAGCAAAGGGTTGGCTTATTCCCAGTTGAGCTGAAGTGTGAGTTGTACCCCTTTAATGAACATGAAACATGATTTGTTGCTGGACTACAGTCGACTGAGGCTACCGTGGGTGGAAAAACTAATGTCTCCTCCTGCAAAATGTTTCTCCCTGACTTTTTTCCAAATTTGTAACTTTAGAAAGAAGCCCATGCAGTGTGAAAATGTGGGACGGACACCAAAATCTGAACTTTACAATTGTTTTAGAAGGCTGAATTTTCTTCGCCCTGTAAAACTCCATTATACAGCAGCTGCGCTGGAAATATCTCCACATACTGATGTTACGTCATCTAAATTCAGGCCATTTTCTGCAGGAGGCAGTAAAATCCACCACCTAACAAAAAAAAAAAAACTGGATCTAGAATTGCAGTGAAAGCTTTTCTTAGACACTTCTTGGCTGTGTCCCTCATTAGGCAGTCAGTACGTATAGATAGATGGTGGTAAAGTATCAGTGCTTGAAAGCAGCTCAACAGTCACTCAGACACATACACAGTATCTGTTGGAAATGGCTCTTTGTTTCAATGTCTGAGGAAGATGGGCAAATAATTGTGAGCTCACAGACAAAAGTGCTATTTCATAAAATGGATGTTCATTTGGAGTTCAGTTTTTTCTCATCACAAAATTACTTGTGCTTATTGCTTGTTTGTCTGGGATTCACTCAACCCCTGATGGCTTGCTGCAATGAAATGCTAAATCTTGGAAAGTGTCAGACGGTCAGCAGAATCTGTGATGCCTTTATTAGATAACAGTGTCTCACTTTATGAGCCCTACCTGTCTGGAAGAATGGAGCCTGAGAGACCAGTTCAAAATACCAAGCTGCCGTCGGGAAGAAGCACAGCACACACGAGCATCACATAATGCTCTCATAACAATCCCTATCTCAACCTAACGCGGTCCTAACTGGCTGGATACAAGCCATTACACAAAGAGCTAACGTGCTCCCTGAGCAATGAACATCATTTTCAGGAGCTATTTAGAACTCAAGTGATTGCATTGTTGACTGTCTAGTGTGTACACTGCCCTCCCCTCAACCCCCACACACAAACACAAACACACACGCACACGCACACACAAACACAAACACAGTAGACCTGGAAACCTGGAAACCAGCACCACCCTGAACACACACTCACAACACCCTGCTGAAATGGCATTTAAGCTGTTGCATAATCCTTGGCAACCTGACTGCAGACAGGCAGACTACAACCCCTGAAATCAGATTACACCAAAACGACTTCTTCTCTGGGTATGTAAATGTTACAACAATAAAGAGTGATTCAACAAAGGCAATGTGGTAATGTACTGTATGTCTGAGGCAGCAGTGTCTTTAGAAATCCCTGTTACCTAACCATGGCAGTTTTATATTCAGTGTTGTCTGGCCCTTAAAGACCCTTCCTCAGCTTAGTGAAACCACTCGAACAAGACTTCACAGGTAATGAGGAACTGACAGTAATTGAGGTTTAATTACTGGTTAAGTGTACTTAAACTGAATGGGTGTCGCATTTCGAGCTCATCTCTGTCTCAGGCTGACTAATCTCCTTAACATTAGGTGATGATTTGTGATGTAGGGCTGACCAGACTTCTACCTGTTGCACTGACGGATGCTCCCTTCAGGATCTGGACGTTTGCGTCAGACTTATTCAGATCTGGAAAACCAAGATACTTCTCTCAGACACACTTTTCTGATTACACCACAAAGCATATAGAGTATATACAGCAGGTAAGGTGACAATATTGCGGTTACTAACCTCACTGTATTATTCTCATCCATGTAATCCATCAGGCCATACAACTACAAGTCTGTCAGATGCTTTGTCTTGTCAAAGTTTAAGGAAGCCAACCCAAAGCTGAATCAACAAAAACAAATCCAGTGCATGACTTTCCTGCACAACCTGTATCTGTCATCACCATCACAATAACACATTCAACAGAACTCTATTTCAAAATGGAGCAGTTATATTTCTCATTCATTCATTTTTTACATTATGTCCTTACTGAGAGAGGGCCTCTGCTGCGTGAAGCTGACATCAAAAATCATTCCCCCTCCTTGCCTATATAAAGTGCCATTCATATGTGCTAGCTTTTGTATGTATATGTTTCCATGTACATTCACATGTGTGTATTTTTGACCATGCGTGAACCCTCTAGATTGGAATGGCACGCCAAGTTCTGGGCATCATAACCTCATTCCTTCTCACTCTTAAGTAAACACATCTTCACTCTCCTCTGGGAATGGGCTGACTGCCGCTGGTCACTCTGAAGAATGTGTTGCTGTTTTGTACAGAACATCTTTCTCTTGTTTCGAGCAAATCTGTGACAGAGGGTACGGGCTTGATGCATTTATTCCCCAATGGGAACAAGACTCTGAGAAGAATGGAAAAAGTGCATCACTACACCCCCCGCGCATCTGTGAAATTCCATGCGAAATACACAATGTTTCCTACATGTGTGTTCATGCGTGTGTGTGTGTGTGTAAGAGACAGAGTAAGTGTTTCAATGTATAACTCCTGCATTATGAGTAAAAGCATGAAACTGGAGAGAGAATCAATAGCACACAATGAGCAGGATCTTGAAAGCCATGGTTTGTAACAGGATCGACCTTGTATGTATGCATCCCCATATGTTGAATGTATTTCATGAATCTTGCACAGGGACAAACCCATGCACTTGAACACACCATGCTGAGGTGAACCAGCTTTCTCCCGCATATTGACATTTGACATTTAGTGGTTATAATGTCTTAACAGGATGCTGACAATATCTTGGCTTCATTAGTTGAAAAGGAAAGACACAAACATGTTAGCCTACCAGAAAGGATGTGACTGTGTGAGAGATGAGAACACAGTGTACAGGTGAGATAAAGACATTAGAAAGGAAATTTCATGCACTATGCATACAGACACACACACACACACACACACACACACACACACACACACAGACACACACACGCACCTCAAAGCCCTGGCCACCAGCCGGACTGCAGGAATACTGTGTTTTTCTACTAGCCTGGTTTCATAGTTACATCTATAATCTGACTGTACCCTGAGGGGGACCTGCTGCTTAAAATGGAAATAGCAGGGCACACTGAGTGACCTTTCAGGGCTCAGTGGAGCCATCCACTCTGAGCATGTTATCCTTGGAGTTCAGATGCAACACTCTGCAGCTGCTGTACGGGAAATAAATATGATCTGAGGCTGTAGGGAACAACAATTACATCAACTCTGATCAAGTGTCAGCAATACGGCCACACACACACACACACACACACACACACACACACACACTGAAAACCTTACTGATGTAATTCTGAAGCTAGTGCTTTGTCGTAGATTCACTATTACTCCCAAATAAGACAAAGAGTTACGGAGTTTGACAATTCCACTAAACGAAGTCACCACTGAGATCGCTTACTGCCGGCTGGCTGTGACTCAGGTACAGGATATCTTGCTGTTAAAACGAGGAAATGGCGAAAATAATGCGACAGCAGTTCATAATTGAGACTGACAGCTCATGAGCTCCGGCTTCCCCCACTGTGTAATATGGAATAAAAGCACAAAAACCTTACCTGGCTTTCTGAGATAACGCCGTCTTGATGGTGTAACCTCAGGAAAGGTCGGAAAAGATGATCTCCTGAATTGGATTAACGAAGAGGCGGCCAACCAGTCAGGCGGTGAAGGAGGAGGAGGAGGAGGAGGAGGAGGAAGAGGAAGAAGAAGAAGAGGAGGATATCTCTGAAGTGGTGATGCCCATGTTCATTATGTGTCCCTCCGACGTCGAGGTGGAAACATTTGACCTGCTACTGTCGCCTGCAGCGCCTGAGATCAGGCCCTGGTGAAACAGGAACACCAACAACCATCGGCGAAAGAAAAAAAAAACACACACCGCAGAAAAATAAGCAAAGCAGAGGGAAGCACAAGCTGCAGCTGACACTCTCCTCTCTGTTTTGCTTGACAGTAGGATTATTTGTACACTGGGGCAGCGGCTCTCGACCACTGAGGAGTGCGCAACGTCCCACCGTCAGCCTGCTACTCAAACCCTGCGTAAAGCAGTGGGCTATCTTGTTTTAAAGGCATCCGGGGGCGGTGTGTTTACCTCTCTACTGTTCCTGCTGCCGTGCTCAGAGGAAATCAGCTGCTTCTTACTGGAGGGACGCCATTTGTCCGCACGAGGCTTCCCGTCTGCTGTCCTGCGCTGCCGCTTAGAGGAGAGCTCAGCACCCAGCAGTTTCACAAACAGACTCAGACAGCGCGCCCTGTTGGCGAATCACTGTAACCGCTTCTTCTAAGGGGTTGCATCAAATTACAATAAGCATACAGTATATTCTCACTTCCCTCTAGTGGTATCTAACCATGCAAATAGTTATTTTCCAGGTGTTTAAATAGTCATACATAAATAATACTAATACATGAATAGAATTTAGTTTTTGCAACATTTGACTTTTTTTTAATTTAACATTTCTCTCCAGACTGCCCTTCCCAGTTAACAAAATGAAACTTCTGGCTCCAGGTGGCCAGTTTAGTTTCTGTATTATTCCATTCACTTGAATGAAATAATAATCTCTCAGTTGCAGGGATATGAAGAGAGACCATTGTTAAATGGGGTTTAGACAACAGTTAGTTCCGACCAAGTAATTTGATTGGACAAGAGACATTCCATGAGTGCTGATATAGAATATAACAGCACTGGGACTTTTAACCACATTCCTGGGGTAATGTGTAGACAAAGTAGCAAGGTAGTGTGCAACAAATTATAACTTGTTGTTGCTTATTTAACTAATATGGTGCTCATAGAACTGTTGTATTAAGCAATATCACACTCGAGGTCGTGATGTTCAGCACAGCTGTGATTGTCTGCGGTGCGAGGCCACTATGACCGAATCACAGCCATGCTGATATTCTGTAGATAATTCCCTCTAGTTTGATAATGCTTAAGTAGGCTATAAGCTGACATGAAAATCTTTAGGGTCACTTTCTTGGTTTGGTTTATTGAAAAGATTCTAATATAGAAAACAACATTTCATTCATAGCCAGAAAATAAATGATGAAGCCCAAGATGTATTTTATCATTAGGTGCTTACAACCCTCTTCAAGATGGACACAGTCGTCAGAGTATTGCTGCAGAAAAGGAAAAGCAGATGTATATCAATATTTAAAACAGCTGTGACAACCAGGTTTCTACAACACTCTACAACAAGTAGAACATGTCCTCAACAGGATAGATGACAGGAGAGGCCGGTCTGCTTAGTTTAGCAAGGATTAAAATTTCCACATAATAGCGTGACCTAGCACCTGTTGTGTTGACTGCATGATGCAATGGTCACACACCGCAATCATGTGAGTAGGTAGACCAGTTCTCACTCAACTTCAGGATTGAATTCCTTTCATTTGTCAAAGTCTTCCATGATGACTTCTGTTCATCCTACTTTATAGGAAGTCACATGTCACTTCAACAGCTGGTGTGACCAGTTTTTGCTCTTCTATAGTGGAATGATTCATTTGAAGTCAAAACTGTAATTATATTGTAATTGTTTAAACAAATGACTGTGAGAGGTACAATTAATTTTTCACATTGTTATGTAGTTTTTTTTTTTATTGTATGCTGTTATCATTTCACTGGCCTGTAAATAGCCATGATGGAAGAGCTGCAGCACCACCTTCGGAGACGCCGTCTTTAAACTGACCATATCACACTTACTCTGTTCACACTGTGGATGCTGATGCATCTTAAATAGAGAGCTGCAGATCACGCCTTTAGTAGAGAGGAGTCGATCAGCTGAGCCACTGAACTGTGTCAGTTCCAAAACTTGAGGAACTTTTCTCAGAATCAGCTTCAACCCATTTGAGGCAATCTTACATTTCAGCTGTTTGGCACTGTTACTTTCGTTTTCTCTGCAGCCTATGTAATACTGTAAGCAGTGAGTATCAGTGGTGGAAACTGACCAGACTGGTGTTGAGAATGGCATGGAACACAATGTCTCTGTAAGTGGTTCTCTTACATTTTTTCAGTGAACCCAGGCCAGGAAATAGGAATCATTCATTTTACTGGTTAACGACTCATACATAAAGATTTCTCTGTATGATATTTTAATTTGTTACAGTAACAGTAACTTGAGTTTTACACCACAGAATATTTTTTAAGAAAATGAACAAAGGAATAAGCTGTTTGCTGAGTGTTCTACTTCTTTCACTTTGGCAAACATCAATTCAGTTAGGTACACAGTATTACCTTCAGAAGCAACTTGATTAGTTGGGTGATTGTACTGTATTATCTTCCAAGGGCATAGGTTTGCATATGGATGGTAGGGACATGTCATGGACAGAATTGTCCCTACCAATATTTGGTGACCTCATTAGCACTATGTTTGGAGTGAAGTCATATTAGATCATTCCAATGTGCCCTTCAAGAGGCTGCGTCTCCAAGACAACCAATTTAGGCATGCTGTCATTTGATTGACAAAAAAATGTGGGGGTTATCTGAATGCTCCCATATCCCGTACCTAACGTCACCAGAAAAATTTCAACTGATGTTATTTAACCATGTTAGCTGGTGTTAACTAGCAAGCTAACCATGCCTTCTGTCTTCTGTAGGCTAGCAGTCAGGTTGCTAGCAGGAGTAAACATAAAATGGTATTTTAATGAAATGGTTTAACTTCTGTCGAAAAATCCAGTGAAAATGTTTTATGACCTTTTTTGATGTCTTTATGCCTTGCTATACTATGACATTTTTTGACATTTTTATGCTTTTTTGTACTATGACATTTTATGCCTTATTATACTATGACGTTTTGTGACGTTTTTATGCCTCACTAAACTATGACGTTTTTTGACATTTCTATGCTTTACTATACTAGGACTTTTTATGCCTTATTATACTATGACATTTTTAAGATGTTTATATGCCTTATTATACCATGATGATTTTGATGTTTTAAGACTTTCTATACTATGATGTTGTATGCCTTACTAGAAGACGTTCTGACGTTTTTATGCTTTACTATACTATGATGTTTTATGCCTACTATACTATGACTTTTCATGCCTTACTATAGTATTACATGGTTTTGACATTTTTATGCCTTACAATACTATAACATTTTTTGACGTTTTATGCCTTTTTATACTATGGAGTTTCACACACTGGCGGTGAAGGAACACCAACAACCATCGGCGAAAGCTATTGTTTGACTCTTCTGTAGGCTTTTATGCCTTACAATACTATAACATTTTTTGACGTTTTATGCCTTTTTATACTATGATGTTTTATGCCTTACTATACTATGACGTTTTTTGACATTTTTGTGCCTTTTTATACTATGATGTTTTATGCCTTACTATACTTTGACATTTTATTGACATTTTTTTTGCCTTATTATACTATGACATTTTTTTACATTTTTATGCCTTACAATACTATGACGTTTTTTGACATTTTTATGCCTTACAATACTATGAAGTTTTATGCCTTACTATGCCATGACGTTTTATTGACATTTTATGCCTTAATATACTATGATGTATTTTTGACGTTTTTCGGCCATACTATACTTAGATGTTTTTTGGCATTTTTATGCCTAATTATATTATTTCATCTAATGCCTTGCCATACTATAACCTTTTTATGACCTTTTATGCCTTAATATACTATGATGTATTTTTGTCGTTTTATGCCATACTATACTATGATGTTTTTTGGCATTTTTCTGCCATACTATATTTTGACATTTTTTGGCATTTTTATGCCTAATTATATTATTTCATCTCATGCCTTGCCATACTATGACGTTTTTATGAGCTTTTATGCCTTCATATAGTATGATGTATTTTTGACGTTTTATACCGTACTATACTATGACATTTTGTGCCATTTTTCTGCCTTACTATACTAAGATCTTTTTTGGCACTTTTATGCCTTACTATACCATCTCACTCGATGCCTGACAATACTATGACGTTTTTAGGACCGTTTATGCCTTAAAATTGTATGATGTATTTTTGACGTTTTATGCCATGATGTTTTTTGGCCTTTTTTTTTTACCATACTATACTTACATGTTTTTTGGTATTTTTATGCATTACTTTACTATCTTGTTTGATGCCTTACAATACAATGACGTTTCTCTTTACATTTTATGCCTTATTATATGATGACGTTTTTTGAAATTTTTATGCCTTATTATACCATGATCTTTTGTTACCTTTTTATGCCTTACTATATTATGACGTGTTTTTATGCCTTCGTATATTGTTGCCTTTTTTGCCTTATCATAATGTGAGTTTCTTGGCATGACCATAAAATGGTATAGTTGTGCGTTTAGGTATTTTTATCAGTCAATCAATGTATGATGTGGTTCAGTAGTTCGAGTTGTTGACTTTCAAACAGAAGATTTTTGGTTCAAAATGTGGTCCCCCCTCTGCGTTTACATTGCCTAATTATATCATTTTGTCTCATGCCTTGCCATGCTATGACGTTTATATGACCTTTTATGCCTTAATATAGTATAATGTATTTTTGACATTTTATGACACACTATACTATGACTTTTTTTTGCATTTTTCTGCCATACTATACTTTGACGTTTTTTTGGGTTTTTTTGGCATTTATATGCCTTAATATAGTATGATGTTTTTTTTTTTACATTTTATGCCTTAATATAATATGATGTATTTTTGACATTTTCTGCCATACTATACTTTGACGTTTTTTTGTTTTTTTTGGCATTTATATGCCTTAATATAGTATGATGTTTTCTTGACGTTTTCTGCTATACTATACTATGATGCTTTTTGACGTTTCATGCTATACTATACGATAATGTTTTTTTGCATTTTTATGCTATAGTATACTTGACGTGTTGGTAATTTTTCTGCCATACTATACTATGATGTTTTTTTTGCATTTCTATGCCTAATTATATCATTTTGTCTCATGCCTTGCCATACTATGACGTTTATATGACCTAATATGCCTTAATATACCATGATGTATTTTTGATGTTTTATGCCATACTATACTATG